TATTTTACTGCTAGGTAACAGGGGCATAGGGTGAAAGAAACTCTGCCCATTGTTTCTCGCCGGCGCCTGGGATCGAACCCAGGACCACAGGATCACAAGTCCAGCGTGCTGTCCGCTCGGCCGACCGGCTCCCTGGTGGTGGCACCAAACACAGTCAGGAATACACACAGAAATCAGAATAGCGTGATGCATCAAATGAACAAATCCACAGGGGCCGTGACGAGGATTCGAACCTACGTCCGAGATCTACTTTTGACCATGTCGTAACTCAGTCGATAAAGGCAGCGTCTGGGATGATCTCGGACGAAGGTTCGAATCCTCGTCACGGCCCTTGTGGATATTCTTACAGTCACGACATACACCAAGCTCACTGGGTGGTACAGCACCGGAAATATGAGTCGGTTATGTGTACACAAATAATTAGTTTACTTACTCAATGCAGGCGATGAGTCTCAATAACGTGGCTGAAGTATGTTGACCAGACCACACACTAGAAATTGAAGGGACGACGACGTTTCGGTCCGTCCTGGACCATTCTCAAGTCGACGAAACGTCGTCGTCCCTTCAATTTACTTACTCAACATCAACACCACACATTCATAAGAAACTTCTTAGCCGTTGATGAATGGGGAGTCATCTTTATCATCGCGAGTCATCTCTCACAGGATGCGTCTGGAGTTAGCACTTGTAGCTTTCAAGGGTGACAGTACTCAGACTTTTCACTGGAAAGCCTCACTGAGAATGAGGAGATGAGAGCTAAGTGCGAGCTAGCCAAGCTCTCACCTCGATTCACTTAAGTTCGAAGCCTTCACATAGAGCGCCAATCAGAATGCTGTTTAAGCATACGCCCACATCTAATTGGTTAATCTATGGGCGTCTGTGTCGACGTTGAGCATGGAAGGAAAGGTTATCTGAACCATTGGCAAAGGTCAAGTCAGCCGTGACCGTTCCACTACCTGGTACACTCTTAATAAATAAATAATAAATAAATAAATAAATAAATGTTTATTTAGGTAAGGTACATACATACAAGAGATTTTACAAAGTTTGTTGGATTAATAGATAGAGCTAGTACATACAATGCCTAAAGCCACTATTACTCAAAGCGTTTCGGGCAGGAAAAACAATAATGACTAAAGCTTAATACTAATAGGTATAAAGAATAAAATGTGTTGAGAACAAATAAAAATAGAGGTAAAAGAGGGGGGAACATGGCTGAAAAAGCAGCACAAATACAATTACAAATTATAACAGACAATTACATTCAAACAGCGTTGTTTTGAAAGAAAAAAACAGACATGGGTTGACAACAGAGGGGTAAGGTAGGTTACAGGGAATTTATTAGGTAGTGTTTAGTTTTTATCTTAAACTGGTTGAGAGAGGTACAGTCTTTAACATGGTTGGGAAGGTCATTCCACATTCTGGGTCTGGATGAACATTCTTCATCCAAAATGGAGATGAGATCCACCTATGAATTCAGAAGCAAGAAAAATAACTACCATCTGATATTATAACTAAACGTCATTTGTCACCCCCACACGAGAGGAGGTGTGTGGGAGAGACAGAGAGGGGGAGAGACAGACAGACAGACAATGAAGAGACCGGAAGAGGGAGACAACGAGGTGGAGGAGATAGTTGTGTCCACACACACCAACAACGCAGGTTTGGATCCCTCGGTTAAGCCCGGAGAGAATCCTTTTATTTACGACATAAGCTTATTTGTGCGGGAAATTTAGAGGCTAATCGACATGCTATTAAGGCTTTCCTAAAGTTCCTCTCGCCCTTACGGAGGAGACCTGGGCTGTTGTGAAACATGGAAGTGCAATTAAGAAAGTTGAATGTGCTTTCGGTAAAATGGCATATGCTTTTAGAAATGGCACTGTGGTGTTATAAATGGCACTGTGGTGTTATAAATGGCACTGTGGTGTTATAAATGGCACTGCGGTGTTATAAATGGCACTGCGGTGTTATAAATGGCACTGTGGTGTTATAAATATGCAGATTCCTTTGTAGCAAGGGTTGGTAAAATAGGGTTTTGGTGTGCTTCCCTTGGGCTAAGATGGGTTATATGATAGATGTGATGGACAAGACTTTGAATTGTAATTACAATGAACCCTATAATAATGAATGGTAATTAGAAAGGGGAGCTGGTCGGCCGAGCGGACAGCACGCTGGACTTGTGATCCTGTGGTCCTGGGTTCGATCCCAGGCGCCGGCGAGAAACATTGGGCAGAGTTTCTTTCACCCTATGCCCCTGTTACCTAACAGTAAAATAGGTACCTGGGTGTTAGTCAGCTGTCACGGGCTGCTTCCTGGAGGTGGAGGCCTGGTCGTGGACCGGGCCGCGGGGACACTAAAAAAAAGCCCCGAAATCATCTCAAGATAACCTCAAGATAACCCATTGCTTCAACGCGGGGGCAATGATGCTGGATAACACAGGTGGGAGGCATTGCTTGTCCATTTATAAGGTAACTATAGATATAATTAGATATCGGAAGGTTTTTGTGTATCTTTGCAACAGCTCTTCGTGTTAGAATGGCAACCTGCGTGGGTATAGACCCCAAGTCCTACATGACTGGGCCAAGATATATCAAGTATTTACGCGATCACTTACGAAACCTGTACATCTTTACTCTATCATGGTGACCTTAGTCTCTATTTAACAGTTTGAGACTCCGGAAACGCTGCGAGGTAGTTCTCGCTCCAAGACTATTATAGACAACCATGTAGCTCATAATGCTTGCTTAATAACAGCAAAGTAAGTCGCCAAGCTCGATGAAAGATGTACAGGTTTCGTAAGTAAACTCGTAGATGCTTGATGAATCGTATCCGTGTTGAGCGTAGGCGTATCATAGCGACGCTGTGGACCTGACAAGAGGATAGACGTTAGCCGGACCGGACGTCCACTATCACCAGTCCAGGAGCTGCTGTGTGAAGCACTCCGGGGGATAGTGGAGGGTTGTGGTAGTCCCTGAGGACGACAAGGGATAGATGCACCAGGAGGTTTATACCGCTTCTTAGTGTATATATACATGAGTTTATTTCAGCTCTGTATTAGGTCCAGAAATAAAGTATACTGGCTACTTGGTTAGTAAGAGCTTGTAGTAGAGTTAATAACTCTCCACAGGTTGATATAGCATAAAGCCCACCGCCAGGCCCACCACCAAGCCCACCACCAAGCCCAGCACCAAGCCCAGCACCAAGCTCACCACCAGGCCCACCACCAAGCCCACCACCAAGCCCAGCACCAAGCCCACCACCAGGCCCACCACCAGGCCCACCACCAAGCCCACCACCAGGCCCACCACCAAGCCCACCACCAAGCCCACCGCCAAGCCCACCACTGTGTCAGGGAGTTAATCGTGACCCTGCCGCCTTGTGCCTCACCTCTAAACAGTGTGAGTGGTGTGTTGATTGATTGTATTAAATTGATTAGCGTCGGATGAGCAATTTTGTCCAGCAAGGCCACGCTGTTAATTGTAAGTGCTAACATTATATGTCATTTACTGCATTTTTGGAACAATGCTGAAGTATTATTCATGACATAATAATGTGTTTCTTGGTGGGTGGAGTGTTGTAGAGTCCGGCCGGCGACGAGTTAAAGGTTATTGATGTACCTGTGAGAACTATTTATCGTTCTGCGTGGGCCATTAATGTATTGAATTATATACACTTTTGTTATTACGAGGGAGACTGTCAGCTGACACAAGATTGTAGTACAGATCAATATCACATTAAACATATTGTAATTATAGCATAGGGATGTAGTGCAGGGGGCTTCGTTCTCGACTCATAATTGGGATCCCGAGTTCGATTCCCTGGCAGGACAGAAATGGTTTAACGTCTCTTTTTTTTCCACCCAATGCACCTGTTCACCTAGCAGTAAATAGGTACCCGGGATGCAGACGATGAGTCACAGTAACGAGGCTGAAGATATGATGACCAGAGCCGGTCGGCCGAGCGGACAGCACACTGGACTTGTGATCCTGTGGTCCCGGGTTCGATCCCGGGCGCCGGAGAGAAACAATGGGCAGAGTTTCTTTCACCCTATGCCCCTGTTACCTAGCAGTAAAATAGATACCTGGGTGTTAGTCAGCTGTCACGGGCTGCTTCCTGGGGGTGGAGGCATGGTCGAGGACCGGGCCGCGGGGGCACTAAAGCCCCGAAATCATCTCAAGATCTCAAGATAACCAAGTAACACACCAGAAGATGATGAGACGACGACGTTTCGGTCCGTCCTGGATCATTATGAAGCCGACTATTAAGTCCATTATCAACACTCGACTTGATAATGGATTTACCATTATCGACCTGTCGACCTATAGGGCACGAATCACTGCATACAAACTGTGCACGAATCACTGCATACAAACTGTGCACGAATCACTGCATACAAACTGTGCACGAATCACTGCATACAAACTGTGCACGAGTCACTGCATACAAACTGTGCACGAGTCACTGCATACAAACTGTGCACGAGTCACTGCATACAAACTGTGCACGAGTCACTGCATACAAACTGTGCACGAGTCACTGCATACAAACTGAGAAAAATTAACATTCTTAATCTATTATATTTTGATAAAATTAACACCCGCGCCCTTAGGACTACGACCCCTGAGTGCTGTCGACTCTGCTACGTGTGTGTGTGTGTGTGTGTGTGTGTGTGTGTGTGTGTGTGTGTGTGTGTGTGTGTGTGTGTGTGTGTGTGTGTGTGTGTGTGTGTGTGTGTGTGTTTTACCCCCATTCAATGCCCCATTACAATCAGGAACACTCACAGAGGAACAGGCCGGCAGAAAAACATATTTTTCTCTCACCCGGTAAGAGGGTCGGTAGCCAGAGTTTAATTCCGCTTGGAACACCGTATCAAGAACCATGCCAGGCTCTATATAGCCGCTTAAGCTTAACACCAATGGAGCAAGAAAGGCAAAGGGGTCATGTGAGATGTGTGTAATAGACTTGCCCTGTAGTCTGTGTCACTCTGCACACACGCACAGGCGCCTGGAGGAGAACACCAGGCGCCTGGAGAACACCAGGCGCCTGGAGAACACCAGGCGCCTGGAGAACACCAGGCGCTTGGAGAACACCAGGCGCCTGGAGAACACCAGGTGCTTGGAGAACACCAGGCGCTTGGAGAACACCAGGCGCCTGGAGAACACCAGGCGCCTGGAGAACACCAGGCGCCTGGAGAACACCAGGCGCCTGGAGTAGAACACCAGGCGCCTGGAGTAGAACACCAGGCGCCTGGAGTAGAACACCAGGCGCCTGGAGGAGAACACCAGGCGCCTGGAGGAGAACACCAGGCGCCTGAACAAGAACATCAGACACCTGAACAAGAACATCAGGCGCCTGAACAAGAACATCAGGCGCCTGAACAAGAACATCAGGCGCCTGAACAAGAACATCAGGCTCCTGAACAAGAACATCAGACACCTGAACAAGAACATCAGACACCTGAACAAGAACATCAGGCTCCTGAACAGGAACATCAGACACCTGAACAAGAACATCAGGCTCCTGAACAGGAACATCAGGCGCCTGAACAAGAACATGAGGCTCCTGCAGGAGAACATCAGGCGCCTGAACAAGAACATCTGGCCCTCGCACATGCCTCTCAGTTCTACCCAATAACTGACACGTGCTACAGTGACGACTGTGTAATGGGTGCCAAGAGATTTAACATTTACAAGAACAAAAGTGTGTGACAAAGAATAATAAACAGGCCCCTTCGATGCACGTAAAAAATAGAGAAAAAACAGAATAATATAAAAAGTCATTGGTATCATAATTTAGGGCCAGAGTATCGCTGCGTCTCATTGACTTGAGAACTGTCCGCAACATTCAATTTCCTTAAAAGAACCTTGTCCCATAAGTTTGTTGGAGTTGTCGTCCTGCATATTGACGGGAAGGTACGACCATGTGGCATAGCACCTTCATACACCCACTCCTATTACCTGCCCGTTGGAGGGGGGTGAAGGGAATGGCTGGTACACATGACAATATATACTATAATCAACCATACCGACAATTTTTTTAATGAACAGCCACAACGCGTCAACTTTTGGCAATGCCTTAAGTGACATGGATTTTTCTTCCCCCTCTCCGAATTGCGTAGTCGTTAAACTCGTTACTATAGATGTCTGGGAGTACGGCAGGGATATTTTGACTCTCTAGGTATCTCATTCTGGCACTAAAGTCTGATATCCTACGAAATATTATACCTAATAATCCGGTTTTATATATCTAGAAATATGGTGTTATTTCTTGGGTAATATAAAGTTGTGTGACAGCGGGTCATTCACGGTGAATGACTTACCGAGGGTAGAGTTGTCGGAACTCTACCCTTACCAAGTCTCTAATTCCTGGTGAAAATATAATTAAGTCCAGTCTAATTGACCAGACGACCAACCAGGAGGCGTGGTCGGAGGACCGGGCCGCGGGGAAGTTGATCCTCGGAACTAACGCAGGGTAACCAGCGGAAGATAATACCACGTCTTGGGAATTGTCACTGCAGAACGCCAACGGATATTACCGGGGACAGGAAAGCCAAGACATGAGTGAAGACGTTTTGCTACACGAACGGATGCGTCTCCGTTCCGGATTAAAGACCTTGGCGGGGAGGTTATAAGCCTAATGGGGAGAGCAATAGTGGCGGATTACAGGAGCTCAGGTTAATATCCTGCGACAGTTCTGCCAGCACAGCTTGAGTGATCAAATAATCCATGGTAATGCTGTCTGCGGGTTATTGTGCATTGTGGCCAACCCTAACCCCTCTCTCTCTTCCCCTCTCCCTCCCTCTCCCTCTCTCCCTCCCCTCCCTCTCTCCTTCCCCCTTCCCCCTCTCTCTCTCACCTCTCTCTCTCTCGCTCTCACCTCTCTCTCTCTCTCTCTCTCTCTCTCTCTCTCTCTCTCTCTCTCTCTCTCTCTCTCTCTCTCTCTCTCTCTCTCTCTCTCTCTCTCTCTCTCTCTCTCTCTCGCACTCAGTCTTTCAAGACATTCTTAATACCTCGTCGAATCGACGTACTCGAATTATTTGTCCAGGGAGTAAGAAAGCTTAAACACTATTATGTGATCTATTTCAACCTGGAGTTGAAAAGAGCTTCTCCAATCACCTCAAATACCTTCTATTTGGTGTATTTGATAGACAGGGACACACACTCGAACACTATATCTTGGAGTGTAGTAAAATTGAGCCATTTAGAGATAAATCTAAGCTCACGCTATATGATATGGCAACCTATCTTATTACCATGGATAAGTTACCTGAAATCCTTGTACTGTATCCATATTTCGCTTCCAGTAGATAAACGAGATATGAGATTAAGAAATAAGTAGTGTATTGTGAAGACTAATAATAAACAGAAGCTCCCCTATGACTCTGTAATACTCCATTGGTCAAATTATTATGTATTAACGATAAGACCTACCATTAATGTATAATGACTTACTGTAAATATATACCTCTTGAAATAGAACATTCTCTGTAACTAGCTGACATTGTAACTATAAGGTGTGAAGGATAGATGAAATTGTTTATGTAATAATCTAAGATGAGGTCTGACCTTTTGTGTCTTCTGTAATGCTTTTTGCGCTACCGCTCACAGGATGGGTATGGGGTGCACAATAAACTAGCCGCCTCTGGTGTCAACAATCAAAATCAATGGTTGACTGGCCACTCAAAAGCAGTTCTCACGAAGGCAGCTCACAAAACTGCACGACCCACAGAGTGAATTCTTGCTGCTAACGGCGTGGGTTACCGCAGCTCAGGGTTCGGGGGAGTGTGTGCGGCGTCTATATCTCATCTGCTTGTGTTGTCAGTTTCATGCATTCTCTTGGTTTCTATAAGGCTGGATTTTGAGAAGCCAAAGGCTGAGGCTTTGGCCATTGTGAAGGCGGACACCAGCCAGTATGTGGGGTTTCCATAAAATTTTTGGGCCTTAACATTTTTGGGCCTCACTTAACACATTTTGGCCTTACTTAACATTTTTGGGCCCTTAACATTTTTGGGCCTTTCCTAACTTTTTTGGCCTTTCCTAACCTCGTGCTGGCCTCGGACCAGCACCCGTTCTCCCTCCTTGGCCACAGACCAGCACTCGTTGTCCCTCCCTGGCCACGGACCAGCACCCGTTGTCCCTCCCTGGCCACGGAAAAGCACCCGTTGTCCCTCCCTGGCCACGGACCAGCACCCGTTCTCCCTCCTTGGCCACGGACCAGCACTCGTTGTCTCTCCCTGGCCACGGACCAGCACCCGTTGTCCCTCCCTGGCCACGGACCAGCAACCGTTCTCCCTCCCTGGCCACGGACCAGCACCCGTTCTCCCTCCCTGGCCACGGACCAGCACCCGTTGTCCCTCCCTGGCCACGGACCAGCACCCGTTCTCCCTCCCTGGCCACGGACCAGCACCCGTTGTCCCTCCCTGGCCACGGACCAGCACCCGTTCTCCCTCCCTGGCCACGGACCAGCACCCGTTCTCCCTCCCTGGCCACGGACCAGCTACACGTCCCCTGCAGGGCGTCACTCACAGGGTAAACAGCCAGTAATACCGCCACCTCGTAACTGTTCACTAATGTATTCACTTGTGTTTAAAGGTTATGGATGACGGTGTGGATGAGCACTGACTACTGTGACCCCCGGGGACCGTCCGTGTCAGTAATAACCTCGCCCCGTTATCTCACCCCCGGGGGGCCGTCCGTGTCAATAATAACCTCGTCCCGTTGTCTCACCCCCGGGGGGCCGTCCGTGTCAATAATAACCCCGTCCCGTTGTCTCACCCCCGGGGGGCCGTCCGTGTCAGTAATAACCCCGTCCCGTTGTCTCACCCCCGGGGGGCCGTCCGTGTCAATAATAAGCCCGTCCCGTTGTCTCACCCCCGAGGGGCCGTCCGTGTCAGTAATAACCCCGTCCCGTTGTCTCACCCCCGGGGGGCCGTCCGTGTCAGTAATAACCTCGTCCCGTTGTCTCACCCCCGGGGGGCCGTCCGTGTCAGTAATAACCTCGCCCCGTTATCTCACCCCCGGGGGGCCGTCCGTGTCAATAATAACCTCGTCCCGTTGATAATTCAGCATCAATAAAAAATGCATCAGGATGATTATTTCATGTCAGTGCTAGGGGCGCCTCTCATCACCCGCTTAATATCGTCATTAATTAATGAACTCTTCGGTGCTCAACCGCGGAAGATTTCGCCGAATTCTGTACTCATGAGAATTAGGTATGAGGGCAAGTCCCCGGCTCTAGCCCCTGCCATTCATTACAGAGCAGTAGAGCCCAGGATATTTTTTAAGAGATAGATCGTGAGGTTTAGCATATTCAGGCGGTAAGTTGTTGCGGCGTCGCGGCGCCGCGACAGTCAGCGAGTCGCTACTCTTAGCGCGGGATCACAGCCCAGAGAAAATTGTCATCGTTAATATTCATATATCTTCGGCCGCAGTTTTTGCGTGGCGGCGTGTGTGTGTGTGTGTGGGGGGGGGGGGGATAGCGAGTCGATATGTTGTGTGGGATATCTTGGCCTGCATGTCTGGTGCGTTGGGTGGCTTACTGACTCCTATCCTTCCCCATCCTCCTCACTGCAACACTCCGCCGTCCCTCCCCCCCCCCTCCCTATCCTTAGACATCCCTCTGTCCACTTGTTGATCCAACACTTTACGCTCCTTTATGTATTTACGCTTCTCCACCTTACTCATTATTTGCACATAATCTCCCCCCCAAACTATTTTTTCTCCTCACCCCTTTCTTCCTCCCCCGACACTTTTCTTCATGCAGGTCGGCGTTCAATCCCCGACCGTGCTAGTGGTTGGGCTCTATTCCTTCCCTCCGTCCCATCGCAAATCCTTATCCTGATCCCTTCCCAGGGCTGTATAGTTGTAATGGCTTGGCGCTTTCTCCTGATAGTTCCCTTCCCTCACCCATTTCTTAATGCTATTTTCCCCCCCCCCCTCTCCCCCACTTTGCTCCCCACATATTCTCTCCCTCCACACACACCTTCTCGTTCCTTTTCCATCATAATATCCACTCTGTCTCATAGTTACCAGTCACCCTTTTTCATGCCCCCTCCCCCACCCCACCCGAAAAAAACCCTTTCCCCCCCCACACCCACGCTCCCCACACCCCTCTCTGCCCACTCCCCTCTTCAGCCTCCCAAGCCAATAATGGCCGTCAGAGATAAGAGGGTAAAGTTTATCAATTAAATGCACCGCTGAAAGAAAAGGTTGCGATTAGAAATGGGCAGTTTGAGCAAGCCAGGGCCGTGGGGATTCGGGGGGGGGGGGGGGGGGAGGGCCTTTTTCAATCTATCGCCTCGAGTGGGAATATATTGGATTTCTATTAAACGATTTTTCCCTTTTCCAGCAGCGGGTGTGTTGGGGGGGGGGAGGAGGGGGGGGGGGAGGGGGGATGGAATAGATTCAGCTTCAGGTTCCAATATCCAGTTGGTGGGGGGGGGGGGGGGGGGGATTAACTTGGGGGGGGGAAGGGAAAGTGGGGATTGATGGGGGATTCAGTGAGGAGGAATGGGGTGGGGGTGGGGGGGAGCTTTGGGGGTTGCAGGGGGGGGGGGGTTGGGTGGGGAGGGAGCGGTCTGGCAGGAAAACCTAAGAAGCTTATGGTGTTTATTTTTGAAGTCTCATAACCAAGATTCTTTGTTTGGATGGGCACTCGAAGTGGGTCTTTAGGGAGGGGGGGGGGGTGATGGGACCCTCTCAGGAGGGGA